GGAACTAGAATGTAAGTGGTTTTGTCCCCTCTCCACTTCTATTCGTCATTCGCATGAACAAATTTTTCCCTACGCGACACGATGAATCTAAAATGATTATTCATACCTAAAATGTTGGGATTGCAACGATAAGAATTCTACAGAATCAATGTGTTGACATTTAATAGTATGAAAGTGGCACGGCATAATACGTAAATCCGTACAGTAGTAAAAGGTCAAATTAAGGCTTTCCATCATTTTTAAGTGTTCAATTTGACAGTAAAATTATATATCCCGACATTTTGTAAATGTCAGGTTCGACATTTCAAACGTTTAACCCGACAGTTTGTAAATGTCAAATTCGACAGTTGAACCGTCGAAAATGTCGAGAAGCAGACGACAGTGGGCGGAACAGATTTTTCAGCACAACACATTAAGTGTGATCATTAGTATTGAGCTAGATGAAAAAGGTCAAATTGACCTTGTCATTGAAGAGACATTTAATGAAAACATTATTTGGTTTAAATGGAAGAAAGTACTCAAACCCTTAATGGTGATAATCACATTTGTGAAGGATTCAAAAATAAAGAAATCAATAAATAGTAGTTTCAAAAATTTTAAATAAATATGTCCAAGTTGTATTTAATATTTACAAAACAGTTAACAATAGAAGTAAAATATAAATATTTTCTAATAGCTAACCTCTCAAAATGGATTATGAATGCAAGAGAAAAATATTCTTGATCAATGAAAATGAAGAAGATGAGAAAAATTTGGGTTTGTAAAGGAAGAAGAAGATATATTTGTTTATATTTCATTTTAAATTTCTTTTACCCTTTTTTTTAACACAAATTCATATTAATCAATATAATACACATTTATCCATATTTTTTATATATAAAATAAATCATCACATCGACATAATCAACTCTTTCAATCAAGCATTAAATGCTAATGAAAATGTGTCATTAAGGGTAATTTGGACATTTCACACAAAAAGTGACATTTTTGCTCACATAAAGTAAAAATGACAACTTTTGGGGACCTTGTTAATTTTGTGACATTTTTGAAAATTCCCCATGTATCATTTAGCTTCATGCCATGAAGTATGAAGTGTGATTATGTTTCTTCTTGTTTTTTATTTTCTTTGTTAGGAGTTGACATGAAGTAAAGTCACACTTAACACTTATATTTTTCCATTTTTTTGTTTGTTTTTTTGGGACAGTTCTATGATGATCTTGTAAATGGGATAGAGATAACAATCGAACAAGCAGAATTATGTATGAAGCTGGTGACTATGATGATGCTCTGCCTAATACAAAAGCCAAAGGGCTTGGCCCTACAGCTGCTACATTAGACAGGAGTGAACATAAGCATTTTGTGATGTAAGTTCTCTTTCCCTGGTTCTTTGTGACGTGTATTGCATGAAGTTGGTGAGTTATTTTTTCCTTAGTTCTTTTGTCGAGTTTACAAATAAATAAAGATTGGTCTGTCTTGGAAAAAATTGGACTATATATTCATTTAAGGAAAAAGTCTATTAACACTAATAACCTGAGATCGGTGGAAGAAAATGATAAAAAGAAATTATTATATATTTTATAAATAAAGTATTTATTTATAAATAAAATTTAATAACTAAAAAAAAATTGACATTAACTACCAATATATTTATAATGCAACTTCATGAGCAAATTCATAATGCATATACTAATAGAAAGCAATGCATCCGCAACTCTCACGCCAAACTTTTCAACAAAGCTCATTCTCTTTTCGTAACTACCCTCACAGAAGTACATCCAGATAATTAACGCGACTTCACACAATTGAATATGAGTACTTGGTTGGATCTCATAAAATATGTAATTAGCATTAATTATTGATTTTAGTTAAAAATTTTAACTGAACTAAACAAGGACTGAATATATCTTTACTCTTTCAAATTTATGCATTCTACTAATTTTATTGTGGCGAGAGATATTGAGCTAAATTGTGATTTTGCTGATGTCAGGCCATTTAATAAATGCTTCATTTTGAGTTAATTAGAACAAGACAATTACTGGTGTAACGTATATGTAGGCAATTGTTTAAAACAGTTAAAAATAATTTATCATTATCATCTCAAGTTGTAGGATGTCTGATCTTTCTTGTTGTGTACTATCAAAGTATGTGGTAGATTTTATCTAATATAAAATCACATTTCAAGATATTATGTGGTGGAAAATTGTTAATTTTAAATTTGTTAACCACAGTGAAGAGCTTAACACTTACGTTTGAATAAGTGATAAATTGAGTCAGTTTAGGCTCTATAAGAATACATATGGAGTTTTTTTTGGATTATCCTCTGAATGAAGAACATTAATGTTATTATTTTCGATTTTCAGATTGGGGGATCATATCTTTCTCATAATTCTTTATCTCTTAAAATAAAGAAATCAATTTTGGTTATTAAGAGAAATTCATTGGACAATAATCTTGTTAAACTTATTTTGGATGAAGGATATTAAACTGGGGAATCAATATTGGAGAATCTGGCTGGATTGTAAAAGCAATAGTTTTAGAAAAATGCTCTCCCAACAAAGCTTGGAACAGTCCATTGAAATACCAGCAAATTTGGTTAATGGATCATAAGGTAAATTTTCTCATATAGTTTTATTTACTTTATTTCAAACTTTTATCCGTAATAAATCAAGACTATTAACATTTCACAAATAGGTAGCCTAACAATCCAAGGAATGTTTGTGCATGAACTTGATAAACATGCAAACAAAAAGCAAAAACAAGAGTAGTTGATGATGAGTTTTTCAAATCTCTTTTGTATGTTTATGTCCACCAGACCTCACTTCCAACATCTATACTTGCGATACTACATTTTGTTCATTGTATATATTAACATGTAAAAATCCATGTATCCAAGTATGGCTTATAACAATTATGGTGTTTTGCTCCATATTACTACTGCCAATGTAAATAAATGTGGACAAATATTTTATATAATTATTCAAAACAAGTTTCATTCTTCATTCAAATACAATGCAACCAAATTATAATATTATTACTTACACTACATCACCCACTACCCGTGCAACGCACGTACCTTCACTAGTTATATATCAAACAAGGGCACGGCCAGTTTATTACTACGATGGACATGGACTGATGGAGGTGAAGGTGGTTAAAATGTTACTATTTTAAAAGTAACTTATTTATTTTCAATTTTCATCAGTAATAATTTATTTATATGAAACTTATACAAAACTTTTAAGCTTAACCAAATATGATTGTTAAATATCATAAAATTTAATTGATGGGAATTTAGGCCACCAGAAGTGATAGTCGAATAGCACGTGTCTTCATTAATGATATTGTTTTTTCATCTTACAACTACTATGGATATTAGTAAGTTAGTTCACAGTGTTAATTTCACTAACTCATTTCACTAAAATGGTGCAACATTCACACCATCTTATTTAGCCATCTCGAACCCATTACACCAAATGTAAAATGTTTTCTTTATTATGTTTTTTTTAATTATCAACAATTAATTTATTTCAGAAATTATGTTGTTGTAGTGCTAATTTCTTTTTTAAAAGTAATAATTAAATTAAAAAATAAATAAAATTAAATCATTAATAAATAGTAAAAGGATTAAAAAGGATATACTAGGAATTGTCTTTTTATTTTTTTCCAGGTTTGTTTTTTACTATAAAAAAGAGACTTCACTCAGGTAGCCGATTTTAATCATTGCATTCATTTCTTCGGGTTGAATGACGCTAATAGTGTGTATTGACTTCTCGTAATTCAAGAGTCGTTGATATCCTCCTTCATTTCGCTCTGTTCGGTAAATTTTAGTGAAGAATACAAAATGCTCTCTATATATTACAGAGTCAATGCTTAAAAATGAGTTTCGAAAAATTTTCTATTTAAATTTTTTTAAAATAGATAGTGTATTTGACTCTCCAAATTTAGAGAGTTAAACTCACTCTCTATTCTTAATGTATAACGATTACATTTAATACATTACAAATTTCAATACTCTACAATTTAAAATTTTCAAATTACATTTGAATTGATTGATCATTAATATATAAAAAATTAGATTTAAATAAACTATGTAGAGAAATTATTAAATATTCATTGGAAAGAACAAAATAAAGAATCAAAATAGAGAGTTTGTTGGAGTGTATAAAAAAAAAATTACTCTCTAAATTTATAAATGCTTTCTATTATATATAAGATGTTCTTTATCAATAGAGAGTTTTTTTTTTTGGAGATTCTCTTATAAAGTTAAATTAACATAAAATATCCATATAATACAAAACTTGGCAATGACAAAAATATTAATTTAATTCAATCCTCAGTCTATAAAATCCACAACTTTTCTGTGGATGTGAACGTTAATATTGCAAGTTACTTTTAGTTGAAAGGAAATTATATTAGCTCGAAAATTTTGTTTGTTGCACCACATTTTAATTAAAATGAAATACTTCAATCTTTGTTTATTGTCGAACTTACGTCATCTATTTTTTTCTTCGTATTTTTATCTTCAACATTCTATTAACTCATATAAGCAATGATGTCAATTTCTGTCCAAAAATAGATAGAAGGGCATAAAAAGACTTATTTTACCCTTCATGTTTGCTCCTCGTTTCAAAGTATATTAACAAAATATTTGGTCAGAGACAATTAGCATAGAAAGCGTGCTAATTAATTGAAGGTTAAAGATATGAATATGACAAGAAAAGTTGGGAATACAAGTGCGATAATAAAAAATGTTAAGGGCCTTCATTACACTTAAAATGTAGCGCAACAAACAAAAATTGTATGTAAAATTAAATGGGAGAGTATACCTATTAATTAGAGGGAAATTTTAGTTGAATGACTAGTTTTACCCTCTAGCTTCAAGTCATGTGAACGTTGATTGCAATTTTATCAGCCACATTAACATTTTCAATCACACGAGGACCAAAATTCACAAATTTAAATGGATTTAGGACCTAAGATCTTACTTTCAAAGTTAAAAGACCCACAACTGAATCCAGATAAAGATTCCAGCCCTAATTTTCCTGATAAAAAATGCTCCAGTTAACTAGTACGTGTCCAATGTTATACAAGTACTGAAAATTGAAGCAAACAGAAAGAATAACAAAATCCCAGCCACAGCACTAAGATCATGTAGAATAATTGAATGCGAAGAACTGTAACTAGATAAGAAAATTTTACACAAATCCCAGGTACAGCACCGTCAATAACATTAAGATATCTCATTCTCTCTTTCCTCGAGCTGTATCGATAAGATATCCATTCAGACGCTGGCCAAATATCTTGGTAGAGAACGACTCTGTTACATGCTTTCGAGCTTCTCTGCCCATTGTCTCTGACATTTGAGGATCACGAATAAAATTAGCCATAGCCGTAGAGAATTCTTGTGGGCTAGGATCACATAGAAAGCCCGTCACTCCATTCTTTACTGTCTCGACTGGACCCCCACTGTTGCATGCAATAACAGGTTTATGGGCTGCCATTGCTTCCAAAGGAACAATGCCGAAATGTTCATCCTACATCCATCATATTTAATGGAAATTTTTATATAAATAAAAACTAATCAAATAATAGAAAGGATCAGATAATGCCGCACCTGAGGTGTATACAGAACACATAGGCATTCAGAAAGAAGATTATTTCTTTCAGAAGTAGTACAAGATGTGATGAACCTGACCCTGTGAGACACACCTTCTCTATCTGCCAAGTTTTTCAGTTCATCCAGATATTCAACATTCTCTCTGAGGCGTTTATCAAAACCACCTGACATTGAAAGAGAAAAGAAAAGTGCATGAACCGTCGGCAATGTGCATGAACTAAACAATTATCATCTAGATTTATTATTACATTTCTTAAACAGACAACATACCATAATTGGTCAAACACGAAGAGTAAATAAGGGCAAAAGAGCCCGCATGCAGCCATGCACAACATAGTTATTAACTTGTCGGTAGTCTACTTTAGACAAGGTCATTGATCTTAGGCAGGCTACATTAGCCAAAGTCCATTCATACGGTAAAAAATTTACTTGCAAACAGCTCCAAGTGGGAATTACAACCAAGAAATTCATAGCTGATGTGAATGGTATGGCAAAAACAGTTTCAATTTCCTAGAAATGAGAATATCTGTTGGATGGTTCCCGGTAAAATGCCCAGTATGAAGAGCGACCAGTATGGTAACAACATAATCAACAATGTAGGGTTCATTAATATCTGAATTCCTAATTCTAATTATTGCTCCTTAATCTTCAGAAATCTTGTTAGATTGTCTTGTATATATTCCTAAGCAACAAATGAATAAAATGTCAAATAATGAAATTTTTTAGGGAAAATTGCAGCCTAGTTATCAAACTTTTCGTTTATTAGCAGACTTTGCCCAAACCTTTTATTTGTACCACCATGAGTATCAAACCTTTAAAAAATGTACAGCTCAAATCTAAATTGACAGTCACCGTTAGTTTGACCTCAAAAACCGTCAGTTGACCCCAAAAATTAAAAATTTAATAATTTTCCCAAAATAAGGTAAAGACATTCTGGACATAATACATTTCCCCTATCGAATCAAAAATTAAAAAAATAATAAAACCACAACCCATCCCCATCTCCTTCTTCCCCAAATCAAAGCCACTCTACCCAACCACGACATTCATCGCCGGCAGCCACCACTACCCACCGACATCACCACCACTGCCCACCCAACAATACTCATCAACAAGAAAAGCTTAATGATCTTATAAAACCTCGATTCATTGACGATTCGAACGGAAGGATTCATGAAATCAAATAGCACGTGGTTTGCTTCAACAATTCTTGCATCGCACAACTCCTTTTCTTTATACTGATGTTTTTTACTATTTTATTGTAATTTCTTGTGTAAAAATCATGGATCCCAAGGGCTCAAAGCAACCACAGGAGGTGTCGAGTTTCTTAAATAACAGCTCTGGGATGGGTGAGATTAAGGCAACAGAGACGAAAGATTTTCAGATTGTGATTGCAGAGAAAGAAGAAGGGAAAAAACAGGCACTGGCACCCAAAAGAAGCTAGAATAAAGATAGGCATACGAAAGTTGAAGGCAGAGGGAGAAGGAGAAGGATAAGGATGCCAGCCCTTTTTGCTGCTAGAATTTTTCAGCTGACCAGAGAATTGGGGCACAAATCTGATGGAGAAACTATACAGTGACTGTTACAACAGTCTGTTGAATATGAGAATTTAATTTTAGTTAAAAGGCCTCCACCGTTGGAATTTGCCTTAATGCCAACTTCGACTGAGATTAGCACTGTTATGGAGGAACATCCGGCGGCAGTGGAGTCGGCTTTGGTTTATGAGAGCGAAGATGCACCCGTCGAGGTGAAGCACAATTTGAGGTGGTGGTGCCAGAGATGGCTTCGATAGGTGGAAAGTCGTTTGTGAGGGGGTTGGGGAAGAGGGAGATGGGGGTGGGTGGTTGTCGTTTTGCCTTTTTGCTTTTATAATTTTTAATTTAATAGGGAAAATGCATTATGTCCAGAATGCCCTTACCTTATTTTGGGAAAATTATTAAAATTTTAATTTATGGGGTCAGCTGACAATTTTTTAGGTCAAACTAACGGAAATTGTCAATTTAGACTTGAGCTGCACATTTTTTAAAGGTTTGGTACTCACGGTGGAAAAAAATGAAAGGTTTGAGCAAAGTCTGCTAATAAACGAAAGGTTTGGTATCTCGACTACAATTTTCCCAATTTTTTACTACAAACTTATAGTTTGTATTTGGGAGGTATATGGGTTCCTCGAATTACCAATATCTCAGGAGGTTTAGATTCCTTCAAAAAAAGCTACCCTTTTATTTTCTCATCTTTTATCTTCCTATTTCTCGATACAAACAAATCGTGTTCATATCATTTGGTATCAGAGTTCTTGAGCAATGAGTGGAATGACTAGAGAAGGTGGTGGAAGGTATATCTAACTGCCAAAGGGAAATTCGGTACAATATGAATTTTTTCCAATGATAAATGCAAGACTTGCAATCTTCCTCTTAAGTGTTGAAATTTCGATAGCCTTGACAAATAGTAAACAAAATAACACAATATTGGCTTCAGAGCACAACCAAGGTAACTGTCCAACTTTTCCCGTGGCAGCCACTAAGCTCAATATCATGCCTAATTGAGCGTCAGAATGGTCATCTGATTGTCTGCCTATTCATGGAGGCTACTTCAGTGGATGTGTTTGCCCTTAAAAATGAATTTATGTTGGTTTTACTTGGGCAATTGCATTGCAGACTTTCACTTCTGGCAGCATCAGAACAACCAATTAACCACTGGAATATACTGCATCACGTTGGCAGTAGTTGTTTCGAGATATGCCTTGAAAGTTTGATATCCAGGCGTAGAGAATCATAAATGGTGAATTGCAATAGGATGATCTAAAAAATACTAGTCAGAGGTACCACAATGGAGCATGGACAATGTTTGTAGGGTCCTATAGCAGCTTGTATAAAGATTGGATGCAACCAGATTGCTATGCGAGCCATTGAGTCAATGGAACATCTACAACAGTCCCATTCACATTTGACGATAAATTAAAAGCGAAGGGTTAAAAAATAAAAAAAAAGTTGTATCATTTTCAAACTTCATTGAAGGCAAGGGTATCTTTAAGGGTGATGGAATGTTACATGAAACATTAGTTGTATTTTAATTTATGCTTTATTTAAATTTGACTAATTATAGATTGTTTTGATTAGTTGTACTTTGTTATTACTGGGATAGGGAGTCATTTAGTGCTCCTTCATCTTAGGAAAACATGTTAGATCATCTTGTACTATTCCCAGGTAACAAATGAATAAAAGTTCGATGAATGAAATGTTTTCAACAAATTTATTGGTTGTATTCGAGAGGTTTATTGGTTCATCAAATTACCAATATCTTAGGAGGTCTAGATTTCCTTGAATAGATCTATCCCTTTTATTATCATTTTTTATTTTTCTATTTTCCGATAGGAACAATTCATGTTTGTATCACAATATTTGGTCGTTTCAATTTTAAAAAAAAAAAAAAAAAGGGATTGCACGTGCAAGTTATATAATTTAATTGCGACATAGTAATTCCTGTGGTACATCAATATTGCAGTAGGAAAATCGAATCTTATCGCAAGAGATGTTTTTAGAATAGAAGATATAGGCCCATTTGACATATTTTTGCTTTTGCTTCTACATTTGCTTTTGCTCCCTATATAAGAGTTTTTAGAGAAAGCCATTTTAATTTTTGCTTGAAAACTAATTCAAAAGAGCTTCCTATTCCGGAAATGCTTTTAGAGGAAGTCACATTGGACCAATTTCCTCTAAAAGTTTTTCTAACTCCCAAAAGCACTTTCACAAAATTAGTCAAACGGGTCCAAAAGCAATTTTTTGGTCGTTTAGCCATTCAAAAGTCATGCCAAATAGGCCCGCAGTCTGGTAGAAATAGATTTAATGTACATATATAAGATTCACCCTGGAAGAAACAGAGAAAGCTCACCTGCAATAACCAAGGAAACTCCATTTTCATTTTCACCTTGAATGTTATTCTGTCGATTGGTGTACAGCAAAGCGAAGGCAGATATAGCTAACTCTATGTTCTTTTTCCTTTCAAATCGATTGATGGAGAGAAAATTCAACCTAAAACAAAGAGTACAAGAACTTAAACTGCTAGAACTAGAGAGCCTTTTATTTATTATTTGTCTGCTTGTTTCTTTCTATTTTAGCTTGTTCGGAGGTTTAATGCATGAGGACAAATTGGTTTTTAATCAACCCTAGAACTAGATGATACCAAGAAAAAAAGTCTCTTTTACTTGGTAGCAGTAGGTTTCTCAAACTGATCCACATTGACTGCAGGGTAAAGCACAGCAGGCCTAATCCCTCGTGTATGTAGATGCTTGAAAGTCTTTCCAAAAGTAGATGCGGTGAATTTGCTGTTAACAAGAGTTAAATCCGCCATACCTAAAATTTTCCAGAAAGTTCATAAAGAAATTGGAATTAATGAGCAACAAGAAGAAAAAAATGTAAACGGTAAATACGTAGTAAAACAATTGCCACGAATAAATGTGAAGCTCGGGGAGACCTGTCGTTATTTCTTCTACATAGTCTATAGGCTTTCGATAAATTTTCCTAAGAACGGTTGTGTGTTGAGCAAGCAACAGATCTGGAAAATGGCAATAAAATACCACCTAAAAAAAAATGGACACAAATTACAGAACTATTAAATAACATTAACTCAAGATTTTTGAATATTCCGAACCTTTGATGACTTTTTAAACTTCATGAGTGGAACAACAACAGAGACCTGATCTGCGAGTATTATATCAAATGTTGGATGCATAAACAATACACAAAGTGCAACAAATATACACCGAAGATATGCACACACTGCATGAAGACGATAGAAAAAATGCCGTGGTAGAAAGGCACCATAGACTGTAACTGGAAAGATACCTACACACACAGTGTTCAGAATGCTTATTAGAAGGATCTATTAAAAAGAAAGACAAGAAACTAAAAATTAAAGAGAACCTGATACCAGAAACGGTCTCCTCAAAACAGCGTGTTTTGTCATGGTGTGATGTGAAGACATGAACTTTATGCCCACGTGTTGCAAGTTCTACAGCAGCATCAACAATTAACCTCTCTGCTCCACCTGAGTATAATGGCACATTCGGGAAAAGGTAAATAAATGGCATTGGAAAAGGATATCGAGATTTATAAATTATCGAGACAGTAAAATCTCAGTCATTGTACGTACAAGTAATATACCACTGATCTTCAAGCCAGAAAATGCAAATACGGGTCGTTGGGACGTATAAAAGTATCAAATCAGAACAGATATAGCATCTGGACTGAAGTATTATCTCTTTGTCACATAAAAAATTCAACATCTTCAAATCCAGCTAAAAAGTAAGACACTTGTTAGCTAAATTCCTAATGTGTATGATATCATATCCGCATAAATAATGGAACCCGTAGGATCTACTTCTTATCCTACTCTACATCGCACATTGTTAAGGCTCATAATCTGCACTTGCTCACAATATCATAACAGCTCATAAAGAGGAACCTCTTCAGACTTTCTACATACAGTTAATATCACATTTTTGCCTCTATTTGGCCTAAAAAAATTAGCTCACAGCAGCCTTTAATCAGCTGTTACCCAAATCACTTCTACAGTATTATGGAGTTTCATCGCAATCACTCACGTAATATTATCAAACTAAGAAATATTTATCCTTCAAGAGTCTGTTTTGCCGCTTATCAATTTGACAGTTATGATCCTAAACTAAAATCCGAAAAAAGAATTTTATTTTTCAAATAATACGAGAACCTAGAAACTCTATCGAAGATTTTATTTAAAAAACATCAAGGTTGTTTCTTGAAAGCTTAACAGCGAGAAATAATTGAAGAAACCAATTAAAAGATGAATTAAGATAACAAAATAAATTAGAAAAACAAAATTTGATAAATATAAAGAGAGTCCGTATACAAGAAGAATCAATTACCAATTCCGAGATCCGGATGAATTATTGCTATATTCAATTTTGAGCTTTCTTTTCTCTCCATGGATGCTTCTTTCTGAGTTTTTGGGGCAGCTTCGTTTTTTTCTTTTTTTTTTTATTCTTTTAAGAGTCTTTCTGCATTTATGTTCTATTCTGGTCGTTCTGACCAATATATCTCCGCCAAGTGGAAAGGGTAGACCCCACATTCTTAAGTCAAGGCGGACTCCCAATACACAAAAAAAAAAAGTCAAGGCGGACTCCCAATACACACAAAAAAAAAAAAAAAAAAAAAGGGGGACCCCCAAAAAAAAAAAAAAAAAAAAAAAAAAAAAAAACATAATTATAAAAATTTGAAATCACAATAAAAATAAATTACCACAATATAAGAGAATGTTTGGTGTAGATTTTTAAGAATAAATTCTTTTAAAAAATGAGTAAATAAAAAATAGGAAAAAAATTATTAATCTGTGCCAAAATTATTTTAGGGTAAATAGCACAAAATGTCTGTACCTTTCATTTTTTACATTTTCACCCATATTTCTACTTTTCATTGCAAAAAAAGTTATTTTTATCCATTTTTTCAATAAAAAGACTATTTTACCCTCCATTCAAATAAAACAAAATGAAAGGATAAAGAACTAATTGCAACAATAGTTCCAAATTTTCAAAAAATTACAAATTAATCACAAATATATAATTAAAAATCAAAACTAAAAATAAAAAAAAAATAAAAAAAAAATAAACCATTCATCTTCTTGCTTCTATGTTATAGCGAAAATCCCTCTTCATTCTCTTACAAATTCTTTATCAACAAATAAGAACACAATCAATTGTCCCCAAATTAACTTCAGACACTACACAATGGGTTATTTGTGTAGAAAATGAATTCATCCACATCAAAGAACAACATCCATTTGACTACAAATCTGTATCTATGCAAGCAATCATTCACTATGAGGAAACTGATTGTGATAGTACCCATCAAATCTACCAGAGGCTTCCCACTTCACTACAGGATTATCATCATTACATGTTCTTGATATTTCTTACAATAATATTTTTGGTCAAAACGTGGTTTCTGGGCTTTTCTCGAATGAATTTGTCGAGCTGCAATACTTGTCTTTGAAGGGCAATTGTTGGTATATTTTTAGTCCCAAACATTCACAACAAAGAGTAACCAGAAAATATCAACAAGAAACACCAAGTAATTTTTCGCCCGTAGACTTGGATGTTCACCCAAAATGGGCTACTCACCACGTTGAGCATCCACCGTAGTGGTTATCGTTCCAATCTACTAGAAATACCACGTAAAAGTTTCGATACAAGGTTACGGAACCAAGGATCACACAGATCTGCCCTCAGACTTCCCTTTATCCCAAAAAACTTAACCTCAAAAACGATTAGACCAAGTAACTCTAACCAAAAGTGCTCAACAAGAGCAGAAACCAAAAACTCACAGTTTAGGCACTCTACATCTCACCAAGAATATCTAGATTACAAAAGTTATTAGAAAAACTAGAGGTTATTTTAGAGACGAAGACGAAGACGAAGATGAAGAATAGAGAAAACCCTAGAGATCTCTCAAAAAATCTGATTGCCCTTACCAACGAAGAGTCACAGGGAGTATATATATTAGCATGCATCCAGCGGTTGTAAAGGCTCCATGTGTTATGATCTAAACCATCCAATTTGAGAAAATGCATTTGATAATAGAAAACACGCCTTTGTCCAATTTTAAACAACCGGGGCACATTCTTTAATTTATCTATACTAGGCTGCATCATTGGGCCTCCAAAAAAATGTCAAGCACCATTTTTAATAATCTCCACCTTGATTGTCAATTTTTGGGTTTCATTTGTGGATTGGAGGTTAACACTTCCTTTCGGTTTCATTCGCTCTATGTACATGCAAGAAAAACTTTAATCAGTGGCAATGGTTAGGAGATTTAAACAATCCCTAAATTTGTGTAAAGGAAGTATTATAGTTCCCATATCAGTTGGGTTACACTTAGTTGAAACATTCTCAATTTTTATGATTTCCTTTTCTATGATATCCTTATGAAATGAAATTTTACATCTATGTGTTTAGTTGTATCATGAAAAACTGGGTTTCTACTAAGATGTATAGCTGATTAGCTATCTGAAAATACAGTAGCATCATTTTCAGAAAATCCAATTTCATTTAACAAACTTTTTAACCAAATCCCTTCCTTTACAGCATCTGTAGCTGCAATATACTCAGCGTCTATTGATGACAGAGCCACCAATTTTTGCAACTGAGACTTCCAACTTATGCATGTATCATTCAAAGTAAATACATATGCAGATGTTGACTTCCTATTGTCACAATTACCAGCAAAATCAGAATCAACAAAACCTTTAAGTTTTATTTCTGTTTTTCCTTTTCTGACCATTAGCCCTAAATGTGATGCTCTTTTAAATACCTTAATAATCATTTCATGGCTTCCCAATGACATTCACCTGGATTACTCATATATCTACTTAAGACACTAATAACAAATGCAAGATCAGGCCTAGTACATATCATGACATACATAACTGAGCCAACAACATTTGCATAAGGAACCTTTTCCATCCTATTTCTTTTCATTTCAGTTTTAGGGCATTGTTCTACAGAAAATTTAAAATGACTACCTAAAGGTAACGTGACTTCTTTTGCTTCAATCATAGAAAATCTGCATAATATCTTTGAAATATATGATTGTTGAGTGAGAAACAAACTATGATCAGTTTTATTTCTCCTAATCTCTCCATTCCTAAAATTCTTTTTGCAGGACTTAGATCTTTCATTTCAAATTCATGTTTTAACTTTTGCTTATTGTTTTTAATCTCAATTACATCGCACCCAGTCAGCAACATATCATCAACATATAACAAGAGAACATGAATCAGGGCCCCCATTTCAAAGTATCAAACCTGATATACCATTGTCTGGGGGCTTGTTTCAAACCATAGAGAGATTTTTGTAAGAGACACACAGTTTTCTTTTCCTTTTTATTCAAAACCTTTTGGTTGAGTCATATAAATCTTTTCATTCAAGTTTCCACAAAAAAAAAAAATGCAGTTTTTACATCTAATTGTTCCAATTCAAAGTCAAAATGTGAAACAAGAACAAGTAGAATTCTTATGAAAGTATATTTGACTACTGGAGAAAAGATTTCATTGTAGTCAATACCTTCTCTTTGGTTAAAACTTTTAGCAACTAATTTGGCCTTGAATCTAACATTTCCCTCTTTCTGATCACCTTCCTTTATTTTATAAACCCATTTGCAGTCAATGATCTTCTCACCTTTAGGTTTATTTACTAAAATCTAGGTTTTATTTTTAGTCAATGAGAGTATTTCATCTTCCATGGCTGGAAGCCAATGTTCTGAATATTTTCCCTTAATGGCCTCTTCATATGTCCCCAGCTCATTGTCTAAAAGGTATTGCACACTAAGTGCAGTATTAAAACCAGGTTCTCTATACCTTAAGGGTGGTCTAATTTCCCTTCTTTCTCTATCTCTAGCAAGATGACAATCTTCTAAAGGATTTAACTGCCAGTCAGGTTCAGGAGCAGGTTCAGTTACCTGTTTCTGAGCATGCTCCACCCCAAACTGATCTTCATTTTCAAAATTTGAATTAATATGAATTATATCAGATTGCAAGAAATGTCTATCTTGATCAATTTCAGTAATAGTGCTCCATTTTTCTTTAATACAAGGAAAATCCATTTCATTGAAGATAACATTTCTATTGATTATTACTCTATACCCTCCCTGTTCCTTTAACCAAATTCTATAACCTGTAACACCTTCACCATATCCAAGGAAAATGTCTTTAATTGACCTAGGTTCTAATTTTCCTTCATTTTGGTGTACATATGCTGCACAACCAAAGGCCTTTAGTTTGGAGTAGTCAACAAGGTGACCATTCCAAATATGGTCAGGTGTGTTATAGTCCAGTTGTAGAAGCCCGAAAAATAAAATGAAATTAGGCTATTATGTTGTGATAATATAGCACCACGAGCCTATCTCATTCAAGAAACGAGTTGTGGAATCTCAAACCATTTAATATTTTGAAAGTCCAAACCATAAATTAATTAAAAGCCCAACAATTTAAGAGATTAAGTTTAAGTAAATTTGATTACAAAGATTTAATGAATAACTGGGTTGTCCAAATGGTCATCTACATGATATTTCATACATGTAACCCAGGTTCGAATCACTATGTAGATATTTTTATATAACTATTTTATAAATTTTTTTAGGCTTAAAAACTCTTCAAATTCTTAATTACAGATTCAATTTAACAAACTTTATGATAACACAACTCCCCCCATTTAGTTTTTCATTAAAAAGAAATGTTACAAGAAGTGGAATGTCACTTTTTCACTACATCCTTCCTTAAATCCGAATTTCATCTTATTTTCTCTCAAAAATATATATTTTATGTCAATTTAAGCTAAGGGAATAACAAGGGTGAGAAGAAGAAATATTTTCTACACATTTATTCTTTGATATCCAAGAAAATTCAAGGTAGGTTGAGGTGCAAGTGTTATTTCGTTTTCAAATTTGATTTTTCATTAAAAGTTGAATGAAATGGTACCTCCGGGTACGGTACATTGGCACTGTTATAGTTTGAATGATTATTCTCCGACTCTACGTGTTATGATAATGCTATAGATATCGGATTTTGCTGAAAATTCATCTTCGTGCGACGGTATAAATTCATGGTTCGAATTTTCTAATTTGATTACGAAATGCACCGATGATATCTATTGAGTTTCAAACTCATGAGTTAAATCCCTTCTTACAAGTTGATTTTGTTCTTTTGTTGGGGGCGCGGATGATGGCGGTTGAAAATGCAATTCGACATGAAAAAACTGATGAATTAACAACTTTAAATTGATTATAAAATATTTGTGTTTCTTATTAATTACTTTTCTATGGACATCGTACATGAAACTATTTCTATGAACATTTTTTTTATGAATATGTTATGTTTAAAAATATATATATGTGATCTAAAATTTACTTACGAAACACCGTCTACAAAAAAAAATGTCAAATAGTTAATGTTACTGTTTTCTTAGACATTTCAGTTTCTGCTCAGACTTTAAAAATTCATACCTAATTTGTTACTTCGAATTTTTGAACAAAGCTAATGGTGTTTGATAGCCTCATAAGTTAGCTACTGAATAAACTTAGAATCATATCAATCTGATGTCGGTAAAATTTTATATGTCATTTTAAGTAAACATAGTGTTGCTGTTTTTTGAAAATTTCAGTTTCTGCCATTGAACTTAAAAATTCATAATTCAATCGTTACTTGAGATTTTTGGACAAAACTAGTGGAATTTAATATCCTCATGGATTAGCTACTGAATAAACTAAAAATCATGTCAATCCAATAACTATGGAATTTTATATGCCACCTTAAGTATGTTGCATTGGGTTACTTCCCAAATTGAGTCGCTACGAGGTTTTGAAAAATATTTTAACATCTCATATGTCGCCGACGAACGCTAAATTTTGGATATGTTATATTATGAGAAGTTTCCTACTTTCTCTTAAAGTTTTGTGAAGTTTCGACCTAGATTACTATGTAAATGAGTTTACTTTAAAACTTACCGCACAAAAATGGGTAGTCAAACAACAACATTTATTTTTAAATTCTTGCCTAAAATTTTACGCAACAAAAATGTATTTATGTATGGATGTCACCTGGAGACATTAGGAATTAATTTCGTTTGTATTGAGTTATGTTGTCATATATTGTCCTTTTAAAAAAAATATTCTTAAATTAAATCTTTATAATTTCCTCTAAAAGTTTAGCTATTTTTTTAAGTTTACGGCTAAAAGTACAATTAATCTAGCGACGTTCCGATCCTTGCGGGTCGGAGCGTTACAGAGTGGTATCAGAGCACGAGTTTAGTCGATTCTATAAACTTAGCGTATTTTTTTAATAAATATAATAATAATTAAAAGATGAGAAAATGAAACATTTAAGGCATTCCATGACATCTTGTATCCATCAATTGACCTCATTCGACAAACCCAAGGTATGAAATAAAATATTATGTTCCACTTTATTTTTCGAGCATGATTTATAAATCATTTAAACTAGAATCTATGAAAATGCTAATGATAGTTAGGATGAAATATGTTATGTAAGTTATATTTTGTTTATAAACACATGAAGAAATGATGATTAACTATTTTATTGAAACCCAAAAGCATAATGTATAAGTTGATATCACTAATAGAGATAATATATAATTGGACACTTATGTGACAGACATGGTTAGAATTTAACAGACCGCTAGAAAGACCACGGCTTGTAGAGCAGCGTTGGACCGTAGGTCTATCATTCAATCCTATGAGAACTATATGATTGACCCATCTCGTCCGCTTGTTAAACACATACATGACATTTACGAGAGATGTATGGCAGCGGTAGATGCAGGACTGGAGATCACGCATATTGAGGCTGTAAATAATCTCATACACTCACTTCCACCTCAATGGGGGAAACATGAGAGTCATGGTTAGGGATGAGATGCTAGAAGGTAACCCTGTAGATCACCCAAATGCAATTGAATTCGGTATATATTGTCAGATCCTTCTAGACAGGTGGAGTGAGAGCTTAGAACCTCAACTGAAGATAGTAATTGAGCTCGAGCCTGAGCCCGAGCCTGAGCCCGAGCCCGAGCCCAAGCCCAAGCCCAAGCCCGAACCTCAATTTGAATCGGACCCAAAGGAAGATCCCGAATGGGAGCATGAGAATGACTTTGGGTTGGAATTAGAGAATGAACATGAGCATGAACCACAGGTTGAGATGGACCTAGAGTCGGGGCCTGAGACAGTAGACTCCTCCGAAGATGAAGCTCCACCAAAGAAAATTCGTAAGATTCATAGGGATTAGAAATTAGATTCCTTTTCCTTGTGTTATCTTTTCCTTAATGTTATGGAAGTAAAGGTCGTTGAACTATAGTATATCCTGATTTCAAGGAGTACTCTTAAAAAAAATTAAATTTGGTTCGAGCCGAAAATATTTCCCTATTTTAATCCTGGTTTTGGAAAAAGAAGTTAATGCGATATATTATATCTTATTTGTAGGAAAATGTCTCGTGCAAACCAGAACAATTTGATAAGGGATCTCCTACAAGCGGTTCAAGATCTTGGCAGGCTGAATCAGAACCCAGCTCCACCTACACCGACAGCTCCTATTACTCTCCCGACTCATGCCTCGGTGGTTGAGTTATTTCGAAGGCATAAGCCCCCTACCTTCGATGGAGCATCTGGTTCACTAGTAGTTGAGGAATGACTTCGTAAGCTAGAACGAATTTTTTGACTCATAGACTGCACTGACACCCAAAAGGTTCAGTGTGTAGAGTTTATGTTTATTGGTGATGCAAGTTACTAGTGGGATTCAATGTCTCGGACTAGAACCCCGAAGCAGCAATTGGGGTTAACATGGGAACAATTTAAAGAGGAAGTAATGGACAAGTATTTTCCTCAATCTCTAAGAGATTTCAAGGAAAGTGAATTCCTTCAACTCAAACAGGGTAATATGTCCCTGATTGATTATGAACGAAAGTTCGATCAACTCTCAAGATATGCTCCACACCTGGTTGACATGGAAATTAAGAAGACTAGAAGATTCAAGCAAGGGTTAAACACATACCTAAGCATGATCCTTATGTCACATCATTTTAAATCATATCGTGAGATGTTGGAACAAGCTCACGCTATTTGGTATCAGAAGGCTAATGCAGAGCAACACCGTCAATTGTACAACCAGCAAGATAGAGGACATATTGGAAAGAGGAAGTGGAATGGTCAAGACAAAGGAAAGGGCAAATGGCAAAATAAGAAGGCTAACATCGGATCTAGTACCAGCAAGGCCATAGTAGCTATAGTTGCACCTTGTCTGAAGTGTGGTAAGCCTCATCGTGGTGAATGCTTGTATGGGAAGAATGCCTATTTTCGGTGCGCTAAGCCAGGACATATTGCTAAGGATTGTCTTATGTTCACTCAAAAGAAGGATGATAGCAGTGATCAGAACAAAAAGGGAAAAGCACGAGTCTTTACACTGACTCAAAAGGACGCAGAGGAAAACTCAAACGTAATAACAGGTATTTTACTGATATTCAATACACCTGCTTATGTACTGTTTGATTCGGGAGCTACTTACTCTTTTATATCAACGTCTTTCATTTCTAAATCTAGTATTACTTGTGAAAAGTCACAAAGTACACTAGAAGTTAGCGTCCCCTTAGGTAGAACATTAAATACAGATAAGTTAGCTAGGTCGGTAAATCTTGAAATCGAAGGAAAAACATTAGAAGCCAATTTGTATCTGATAGAGATGAAAGACTTCGGTGTGATTTTAGGCATGGATTGGTTGGGATGTAATTATGCAACCATTCATTGTAGAGAGAGGGAAGTGTCTTTTCAGAAACCAGGAGAAGAGAAATTCTCTTTCCTCGGAATAAAGACCAAACCCCATCTCCAACTAATATCAACCTTGCAAGCTGAGAAAATGATGAGAAAAGAAACATACCAAGGGTTTCTAGTTAACATCTCAGGAGAAAAACAGACAACAATGAAGATTGAGGATGTACCAGTAGTACAAGAGTTTATAGATATGTTTCCAGAAGAACTACCTGGTGCTCCACCAGATAGACGAGTGGAGTTCACAATAGATCTAGTTCCTGGAGCGGCACCAGTATCTAAAGCTCCATACAGAATGGCTCCAAAGGAACTTCAGGAGTTAAAATTTTAATTACAAGAATTGTTGAATTGTGGCTTTATTCGACCAAGTGTGTCTCCTTGGGGCGCACCAGTATTGTTCGTAAAGAAGAAAGATGGAAGTATGAGGATGTGTATTGACTATTGGGAGTTGAACCGTTTGACCATCAAGAATAAATATCATCTCCCAAGAATTGAGGATTTATTTGACCAATTGAAAGGAGCTAAGGTATTTTCCAAGATCGACTTATGATCTGGATACCATCAGTTGAAGATTAAGGCAAGTGATATACCCAAGACAGCTTTTCAAACTCGTTATGGACATTAGGAGTTCACAGTTATGCCGTTCGGGTTGACAAATGCTCCGGCAGTGTTCATGGATTTAATGAATCGTGTATTTCATCAGTATTTGGATCAATTTATCATAGTCTTTATTGATGACATCTTGATATACTCCAAGAGTAAAGATCAACATGAAGAGCATCTTAGAATGGCGTTAGAAACACTGCGTAATGAAAGGTTATACGCCAAATTTAAAAAGTGTGAATTTTGGCTTGAACAAGTTGGATTCCTCGGTCACGTAGTTACTGCCCAAGGAATTGAGGTGGATCCAATAAAAGTGGAAACAGTAACTAATTGGAATACACCAACTAACGTGGGTGAAGTTCGAAGTTTTCTGGAATTGGCTGGGTACTATCAAAGATTTATAGAAAGATTCTCCAAAATGGCTGGACCAATGACACAATTGACAAGAAAATGAGTAAAGTTTCAATGGACATTTTGGGTCACATCCATGTTGTTCGATTCGGTTGCCATTTCTGAAAACAAACAAATATTAGTTCCAAGAAACCAAAATTCAGTTAAACCAAAAACCAACTCTTGTTTTCCGTATTCACAAACTGTCTTAAGCTTGTAAGAAAAACAAGTCGCTAGTGGATGAAACCAATTGTATAAGTTTTATTCAATTATAATAGCCGACTATTGAAATTAATAACCACAAGGCAAACGATTTCAATTTATCAAAAAAATTCCGTTTCAGAATTTTCCAACGGCTGAAAAAAATGTTTAGCAACACAAAATCAGAAATATAAATTAACTGCAGGCTAAAACTGTAAATCGATGTTCTCGCGGAGGAGATAACATATCAACTTTCATATTCCACATTAGACCAACGGGTCCCATCGAAAATTGTGCCAAAAGTGAGCCGCTCACTCAATTTTTTCCAACAAACACGTCACGAACCATTTTCAAAAAGATCACTTTTGAAGAACATCCAGATCAGAGTAGAAGCTTTCTACATTGGAAAGACACTAGCAGCCAAGAACACAATTAGAAATCAGTATCAAGACTAATCACAAAAGGGATACACCAGAAGAAATCATTTCAAAATTACGAATTTGAGAGTCAATAACCTTACATTTAATCCACTAATTCCTGTTATGCAATGGGCAAGAACTTCTTTCTCTGCTCTACCATAATTTAAATGGTCAACATTGACAAGCCAGCATATAGATATTAAAAGATTCAAGGGAGCTACTATGACAGGGGCAGTCCCATTGGAGGGGGTGCCAAATAGGCGCCCTGTCTCGGCCCTATTTGAGTAGAATTACTCGAAAAGACTAATCTAGATATCACTTCAAAAGTCCAAGTAAATAAGTGATTTTCTTTTTTAAAAAAAGAAGGAATTTCCTCCAATTTCTGTATGGATCAAAATTGAAAATAATAAATTAAAACTAAGAAAACACTAACTTCCCGAAAAAAAATAAAAAATAAAAATAAAGGACGACTTTTAGACGATAAAAGTTAAATAAAGTTGATTTTTCCTTATTCTTGTACGTGGGCAAACATGTTCATAAATTTCGTTCCAAGAAAGCTAACCAAAGCTATATATCTCGACATTTATTTTAGAAAAAATTGCAACCGAGATATCAAACATTTCGTTTATTACAGACTTTGCCCAAACCTTTCATTTGTGTCACTAGAGGTACCAAACATTTCAAAAATCCGCACCCGAAGTCCAAATGGATGGAATTTGACCGTTAGTTGACCAAGAAAAGTAAATTTTGATCTATTTTGACCAAATTGGAATGAGTAAAATGGTAACTTGATAATTACAATATTAAATAAATTGAACAAAAAAAATCAAAAAATTAAGAAAATAAATTAAACAATGGTTGTCTTCTTCAACCTCCCCACCCCACGCCACCCCACCCCACCATCTTTGTCAACAATATGAGCAAACCACCACCAGCTACCCATTGTTACAACCGCCACTGCTCCCATAAACTACAACCCATCACCCCCTCTCCTAAAGATTAGTCAAACCCCCACATTTGAGGGGGGGGGGGGGGGGGGG